AATATCCAGAATGTTCAAGTAAACACGCGGAAGGTACCGAGCGTTCGAGTTTCGACTAGGCGCTGTCGGTTGAGTAATTTGTGATGTCATTTTCTCAATGCTCCCCTCGCTCTCGTTCCTGACACTAGATGGCGCTAGTGTATCGTTGACTGGAGCGCGTAACACTGCCCCCTCCTAAGACATGCTCGTCCCGAGCATTATCGGCCCCATAATAACGCGCCAAGCGATTCACATGGACGATCTTAGGAGTCCCTCTTGCGCCTTTCTGTAACGGCTCCGCAATGTCAAGGGCTGTCCTATCCCGTGGTGCACCAACATTGTACAATTTCGGTGCTCCTCTACTACGTGTCCGAGGTCCCCGCACGGCCGCACAACTTGTACATGTACGACACCAATCCTCGACATCGTCACGATAATGGACCCAGTAAAACTGTTCTCGGATCTTCAGTAGAGTTCGTTTAACTCCCAGATGGCCTCCTGAACAATCATTATGGTACAGCTGTAGAACATCCGGTACTTTAACTTTAGGGACAACCATTTGCAAATGACAGCTGTCTCCCCGAACGTTTTCCCATTTACGACACAGAACTCCATCCTGAATCAGCAAGCTGTCCCATTGGGCCCAATAGCTTTTCGTGGTTGAACTCATCGCTGAGACGTCCCTCCACTTAGGCTTGGTAGCACGGGCCTTCATCCATCCCAGAATCGGCTTGATGTCTGGATCTTCCTGCTGTGCATGTCGTAGGTTGTCCTTCCATTCGTTGCTGAGGTGGTCCGTCCTGAGCATCCTCATGGATACCACCTCCTTACTCTCTTGCCTACTACAATGGTTGCAATCTTCAGGACAAGGTCTTCTTGACAATGCATCTGCGTTGCCGTGAGATTTCCCGCTGCAGTGTCTGATAGTAAAGTCGTATTCCTGCTGCTGCTGGGCGGTGCTGTTAGCCGCACTTCCTTTCTGAGACCGTTCACCTTCCCTTCCTAGGGTGTGCTTAGGGCAGCTGGACCGAAGATGGCCCCTTTCCCCACAGCCATAGCACCTAGGGCTGTATCTTTTATTGTGGTCGCGAACCGTCACTGCTGTAACCTCCCCTAGCGTGAGGTGAATGATGATCCTGGCGCCGCCAGGCAGTGCCGTTAGCTGCACTACCCTCTCGAGATCGATCAACTCTCCTTTCCACGGTTCGTTTAGGGCAGCTGGATCGAAGATGGCCCTTTTCCCCACAGCCATAGCACCTAGGGCTGTATCCTTTGCTGCGGTCACGGACTGTAGCTGCTGCAACCTCCCTGACGCGATGGGAACGATGATCCTGCCGCACGGCTTCCACCTCCAGTGCATGGGCCAAGGCGTTCTTAAGCGTGTCGTGGTGCCCGAGTCTCACAGCAGCTCTGACTTCAAGGTCGCGGATGCCGTCGATGAATGTCTGAACCAGGTTCCCTTCAATGAGCGCAGGTACAGACTGGTATGCTTTTCGAACCATCTTCTCCACCTCAAGGGCCCACTACTGCAGGTTCTCGTTGCTGCGCTGCACGCGATCTTTAAGCTGTGCGCGAAAGACGTGTTCCAGGTGAGCGTCGCCATATCTCGCCTCCAATGCCTCAAGGAGTTGCTCATAAGTCACTTCCTCACCGAGAGCTTCCAGAACTGTTAAGGCCTGGTCGCGCAGGCCTAGTGTGAGAGCAGTCATGGCCTGACTTTTATTCCAGCCGTTCGCCTTCATAACAGCCTCGAACTGGATTTTGTAGGCTGACCAGGAAGAGGTACCGTCGAACGGTGGCACCTTGAACCCTCGTAGCAAAGGTGTTGTAGCTACTACGGGAGCTGTAGCTCCATCTCCAAGTTTGAGTTCGTCCAGTGATTTCTTCATGTCAGCCATTACGTTGTCAACCCGATTGTTTACTTGGTCGATTCGGATTTCAGCTTTCTCGATTCGGTTTTCAGCTTCCGACAGGCGGTTGTCATGGTGAGCAACCCTATCCTTCACCTCCTTTATCTCCTTCCCGAAGGTAGCGTGAAGGTCCTTCATGAGGAGCATCTGTTCCTCCTGTCGGCGGGCCTGTTCCTCGTGTCGGCGGGCCTGTTCCTCCTGCTGCTCTTTCAACTGACTGGCCTGTTCCTCCTGTCCGCGCTTCAGCTGCTCTTCGAACCGACGAGCCTGTTCCTCCTGTCCGCCCCGCAGCTGCTTTCTGTATCCGGTAGGTCACATCGTTGATCCTGGTTACAATCCGGTACGGGCCGTCCCATTTAGCTTGAAGCTTAGGAGATTTCCCTTTGCTGCGGACTGGATTGTGCAACCACACAAGTGAACCTTCGTCGAACCCTTTGTTGTTCATTTTGCGGTCATACCGGGTTTTCATCTTTTCAGACATTTGCTGGCCCGATTGTCTGACGTGCTCATAAACGTCATTCATTTTTTTCCGCAAGTCATTTGCATAATCGGTTATACTGCGTGGAGCATCGGGTGGTATCCCGGTGATCAGGTCTGCAGGCAGCCGTAATTCTCTTCCAAAGTTTGCGAAAGCTGGTGTCACTGCTGTACTTTCGTGAACAGAACTTCGATATGACAACAAAAACGGTTGTATGTGCTTGTCCCAATCTCGTTGCCGATTGTCTACAACTTTTGCTAGGTACCTCTCCAATGTCTGATTAAATCGTTCCACCATTCCATCAGATTGCGGGTGATAAGAAGTCGTTCTTGTTTTATGAGTACCCATAACTCGGCAAGTTTGCTCCGTGCTCCCCTCGCTCTCGTTCCTGACACTAGATGGCGCTAGTGTATCGTTGACTGGAGCGCGTAAAATACTTAAGGGGTCAGTATCATCAGGTTATAAAAACAACTTTAACGCTTTAATTTCATTAAACAAATCATTGGAGTCTATATCCTTATTATCCTCATCTGTCAGTCGTTCTTCAAGAACAGAACAATGTTTTAAAATGTCGCTGTTACTTAATTTGAATATGTCACCAAAAATATCATACTCATTTAATAAGTCTAATCGATTTTTTAGAGAGCTTAATGTTTGATCTATAATTTTTAAGAAAAAACTAATTTTAAAGGCAGTTTTTGGATCATGAGGGGTCTCATCTCGGTGTTCATAGTCAAACAGTTTTGGTTTAAATTTCCTCCTGACCGTTGGTAACGGTAGAAAGTCTTCTTCAATTTCGAGAGAGAGTGCTACTTCTTTCGCTTGTACAAGAGTTTCTTCAAACGATTGGTCAGATCTATATTGCTGGAAGTGATCAACTAAATTTTTTAGGTAGGTTTGGCATACTTTAATATTAATTGTAGCACTTTGCATTTGTTTGCTGACAATATTTATGTGAAATAAAACGTCGTGCCAAATAATAATTCCACAAATTTTTGTACAGATGTTAAGAGGGAACTCGCTTTATGTCTTGCATCAATGTGAAAGGAATTATCTTCAGCTACTTCTAGAAGACCTTGGCAAACATTAATTAAATAAAGTTTAAGGGCCTTTATTGAATCAATTCTGCTGGACCATCTTGTCTCACTTAGAGGCTTTAAACTTAACCCAGGGACAATTTTTCTCAGAATATCCCACCTTTTTGTTGATGACAAAAAAAATATAACTCTTGCACAGGATTAAAAAGTTTATTGTAGCATCTGACACTTTAGAAACGTCATTTACTGTTAAGTTCAAAGTATGAGCCGCACAAGGCACAAAAAGGACTCTCGGATCCGCGTCAAGAATGCGTTTTGAAGCCCAACATGCTGTCCCTTCATGTTTGCCCCATTATCAAAACCTTGTCCCCTAATATTTTTATATCCAAATTTACTTTTTTCAAAATTTCTGTCACAAATGTATAAATCCCTTTCCCTATAGAAGCCAGTATTGGATTAAACGCAATAAAACTTTCCTTAACTTCAACCTTTTTTGAAGTTGTGTATAAACTTCTTACTTCTTAGTTCTTAGAATTTTTAGAATTTTCTTAGAAGTTTCTTAGAATTTGGTTTGCAAATTAGAGATTGTGGTAACCAAGATCCAGAAATTTACTCCTTGTCTATATACCCACTCACTGTCTCGTGTATTACATAATTCATTGCTATTGTCTTACTTTTGTGTTTTATAATCGGACAGTGACAGCGTTAATACTAATTTATATTAAACGTTCTACCCTAATTGTTCAATATCGATTTGAAGTTAATTATATTACTTATTTGAATCATTGAGTGTTATTTTATTTGAATTTAAATACGTACAATTTATTATAGATTTGTTAGCAAAATACGATTTTCCTAGTGTATGCCGTACGCGGCTTTGCAGTTCGTGAGATTTTTGGCGGGAACTTGGCCGTCGACAGATTGTTGCTCATGTTTTACCACTTAAATAATGGTTTGAAGTGGATTTTGATTCGTAAAAGTGACACGATTTTCTGAATTGAGTGTCTGAGATTGTAAATTATTATAGAAAACGGCGAAGCAAATGCTTCGATGTTGATACTCGTATAAACCTCAAGTTATTTGATCGCTTAGGCGCTTCATGAACTTGAGTGACTATCGTCATCAACTGTCCGCTGAGTTGAGATGTCATGAAAATCTCCCAAAAACTTCGCGATGGGGCGCATTAGCATATTATGAAAAAAATCTATAAAAATGAAGATATACCGAAAGAAATAATAGGCTCAGAAGGTCTAGAACCCAGAGCCGTAAAGCCAGTTAAATAAAAAAAATTGCGCTTCGCAATTCCAATTCGTGTTCGCGCGTTTTTTGGTGTCATTTGTCAAATTAAAATTTACTTCCCTATTTGATAATTTTGATTTTCAGTTTTTAATACATAATTGTAGTTAGTTTGTGATATATAATTTCGTAGATCACTTCGTAAAATCTAGCCATCAACTCATCTAAGTCTGACCCATAAAAGTAGATCTGATCAGTTGGTATTATTAATTCTCTGCTTTAGTTTCATTTAGGCATTTATAGAAATTATTTAAGTTAGAAAAATATATTGTGCCTTGTGTTTACTGTCTGAAAGCAAAAATGTCTGGACGTGATATTGACAGTAAGATTTTTTTATATTTATTATTTTTCGTAAAACCGTATTGCTAAAGTTAAGAATATAACTTGGCGCTATATTATTTTAGATCTTACGAAACGTGCCAAATCTAAGTCTCGCAGCGAACGCGCCGGTCTAACTTTCCCTGTTGGAAGAGTGCACAGGATCCTACGTAAAGGCAATTATGCAAGGCGTATTGGGTGCGGCTCGTCGGTGTACTTAACAGCAGCGCTAGAGTATTTGGCCGCAGAAATTTTAGAATTGGCCGCAAAGGCTGCAACTGACAATGGTAAAAATAGGTAAGCCAAGTAAATTTTTATGAAAGTATTTTCTTTTCTAACATTATTTTCATTAATAATGTGCTCCTTTTTAATCTATGTATTCTTGTTCTTGCCCACATCTGGAGGAGAAAGGTAATATTTTTTGTGAAAAACTTTTCATGTGTTTGCGCTTAGTAAAATATTTATTCTTTATTTTGTAGAATATCTCCTCGCCATATTTTGTTGGCCGTGAAAAATGACGATGAGCTAAATAAAATGCTTGAAGGTGTTACGATTTCACAAGGGGGTGTCATACCAAGAATCCATCAAGAGCTCCTGCCAAAAAAGACTGATAAGAAAGCAAACAAATCTCATGCTACAAATGGTTCTTCCCAAGAATATTGAATAATATAAATCTAGTTTACTTTTAAAATCTCTGTAATATTTAAATTTATATTTATGATAACCAAAAATGAAGAATTAAGGTTGAATAGTATACACTTTACATCATTAGCTATTACTACCTTTAACAAGCAATTATTGTTTTACATGTAAGCCTGACTTTTAAAAGAGCTTATTGCTTTAATGCAGCTTAAGCTTTAACTGAGTCTCCAAATAAATTTTTCGCGCTCCACTTTAAGAAGGTTCACAAGCTTCCATACTTGGTAAAATGAGAAATTAAATATAAAACTATTTTTGGTTGTAATTAACTTCAATTTTTTTTTAATTACAACTCGGTTGCGCTAAGTTTGAACATCACTGCAATGCGGAAACCCTCCATTTCCCCATTCTCAACTCCCCCATTCATACAGTCGAATCAGTGTGATTTGCATTTTACCATTACTGTCTTAATTTTGTCTCCTATTTGTTAAGTTTCTGGGTTATATGCACCAAGTGCAAACTTGCTCAATTGAGTTGTATATTGAATATCAAAGTTCAATGGGACAAAAATATTTGTTATACATGTAAACTCTGCTATTGTAATTTTTGTGCATCTTTTTTTAACATAGCCAAGAGATGGCCATATTATTATCATAGTTAAGAGTGTATCTCATCAGGAAATCTCACATAACCCTGGTAGTACACATACCATTAATTAGGAAACACTGGCCTAGCCAACTATTATTTTCTCTGAGGAAGGAGGATTAAAAATTAAGAATTCTTTAATTTACGTGAACACTACACATTGAATAAAACTATTTATATGGATTTAATCGCGTTTAATTGAATAAACACGATAAAATCCATATAAATAGTTTTATTCAGTATTAAATATTATTTGTAATTATTTAAGTTGCTTCTCTTTTGGATATGTGTTTACATGTTATTATTTAATAGAAATAAACAAGTTAAACTCCTTAAAATTCATGTCTCTTTATTTATTTTATTATATTTGAAATGTAAATTAATAATCATTATTTATGAAATGTAATATTAATCTAATTTATTAACATACTTAATATTACGTTTCATTATTAATAAAATTTTATATTAAGTATGTGAACATGCCCAACTTCAAAATATCTTTTTTATGATCTATCTTTTGTTAACATTATACATTTAAAATTATTATAACTACGTAGTATTACGAAGTTAAGTGGATATTTTCGAATATTTAAAAATACTTTTTTTTACACACATCTGGTAGTTGCCACGAATAACTACCTAAATCGGGTTTGTGTTTAAAGACTAGTGTTTTCAAAATATATAGAGGATACAGAAACCATCTTCTATTAATAGAATAGATGTCCATATATCCATAATAGAGTATCCAAGTATCCAAAAAGAGTAGCCAAATTTTAAACTTAAATTCAAGTATATTATAAAGAATGATAGATGTGATAGAGCCATGTTGTAGTTATGTTAGTAGTATAATTGTAGCATGAATGGGTCGGCTCGACGGGGGAAGGACCACACTCACAGAATACCAGCCTAATACTGCTGTGTTTCGTATGGTGAGTGTAGAGAACTGGAGACCCTTTTTACTGGAAACGAGGCATTCCATCTTAGTCCTCATGGGTGACAAGGCATTTGCATTTTGATATATTAATTGAGGATAGATGTAGATGTCTATGGACCGCCGCAACCACTTACCATCAGGTGGATTGTGTGCTCGATTGTCACACTATTCTACAAAAAAAAAATAATTATATACTGTTATAGGTTTTAAAAATACGAGAAAATAAGGCTTTTACTTTTATTTGAAAATATCCCAAGTTGAATGTGATTTATGGGCAATAACATTTTTGTCTACCGATCGACCCTTACGAATGTTTGCGTGCGCAGTAAAATAAAATTTCACTGTTTTTAGTAATCTTTTTTTATTCTCACTTCCAATGATTTCTCTCACACAAGACTGACAAATGATGTCACGCAAATAATTTAGAATGGTTAACACTACATGTGCAGTAAAAAAACTGAGTCGCCCTCATTTCGAGAGGGTTTTAGGGCAAGGAAGTATCCACCGCGCTGCCGCGGCCTCCCGCTCATTTCTGAGAGGGTTTTATGACAAGGAATGGAAACGATGTGTGTTGGCGAACTTCACATGTCTTCGAAATATTTTTTTCTTATTTCTCATTTTTTAAACATGCGGGTCACGATGTTTTCCTACACTGCCGAGCATGCGGTAATTCAGCAATTAAAATTGCAATTAACAATTTCATTGGTGCCGTCGAGGATTGAAGCCAGGTTGCTTGCGTACTGTGAAATTTACAGCGAGCGGTAATATTATTAAGCTGTAACGCTTATTTCTAAATTTGTGAGGTACATAATTTTATTTATTTAAAGCTAGTAGAGATGATACTTAATATCAGTTATAAACGAAGGTGTGCCCAAATTGTCTCATGTATTGACATGCTTGTACCGCCTCTCATTTAGGACTGGAACAGTGCCTAATGCCAATGATGGCTAATGTGAAGCCTATGCCCAAAAAGGTAGTGATCCTGACAATAATCGGATAATTTCAATTACCACCATACTATGTCATGTAGGTATGGTCAATAGCGTGTATTTAACTCAATATGTGAGCGTTCAGTATACTCGGCGTAGCTTATATTGAACGCCCACCTTATGACAACTAGAACAGAATGATCACAGTGACCGACACCTACGAGTTTTGGGGAAATAAGTCTGCCCAAATACCACTAAAAAATATAGAGCGAGACAAGGGCGTTGCCAAGTGGGACGGAGTGGCAGCTGCCCCCTCCTAGAGACTCAAAAATGTAGTCAAATGCAAAACAACCAATCTTATTTTGGCAAGTCAAGAGCTCGTGGATTTTTACGCATTGGAATTTCTACCGCTCTTATTACAATCACCGTACCCGTAGATGTAAGACTTGCAATAGAAGTGTAAAGCTTCATGTGCTCATGTACCTACACTTTCCCATCCTCTATATCAACTTGTACCCCCCCTGTGCCATCAGCTGACGACGCCCTTCGTCATCAGCTGACATCTTAGAGAGAGAGAAACCACATTATTTTTAAAGGCAGCTGTCCCCTCCCAGAGACTCAAAAATGTAGTCAAATGCAAAACAACCAATCTTATTTTGGCAAGTCAAGAGCTCGTGGATTTTTACGCATTGGAATTTCTACCGCTCTTATTACAATCACCGTACCCGTAGATGTAAGACTCGCAATAGAAGTGTAAAGCTTCATGTGCTCATGTACCTACACTTTCCCATCCTCTATATCAACTTGTACCCCCCCCCCCTGTGCCATCAGCTGACGACGCCCTTCGTCATCAGCTGACATCTTAGAGAGAGGCCTTTAAAAATAATGTGGTTTCTGATGTTATTAATGTTGTTAGCCTTTTGGCTTTTACAGCTTCGTCGGTCTCAGGGTAAAAGGGTAAATTTAAATCATTCTGCATCGTTACTTGCGTAACGATGACTCCTACGACGGCGTACAGTGCACATGGGTGAGTTGTCTAATGGCCGTCCGAGCAGGGGATGACGGGCCCCGGCTCTGACGGCTAACTCGTATCGTTCGATGTTTTGGGCGGTGAAAACCGCCAAGGTACGCGGGTGTACTTCGCGGATGCAACTTCACCCCAAACGGCGCAATTCTCAAGGGTGTGCTGTGCCTTGTTCTCGTCACCACCACAGTGGTGGCACTCAGTTGTCGGCTCTCTTCCGGCTATACGGCACAGATACTTACCAAAGCACCCATGCCCGGAAAGCACCTGCACCAGCCGGAAGGTCAGTGACCCGCTGCCGCCTGTTCGTCCAGTCTGGCAGGACCGGACAAATAGCCTCGACAGTCCCGTTTCCTGCCTTCGGGTGGGCCAGACGCTCCTTTCTGCTTTTCAAGCATAAGTTGCCGAGTGTGGAACTTCCGCAATTGACAATCTCTGGTAGAAGGACGGTACACATTCGGTGTCGAAGTTTCGAGTGCCAATCGTACATAGATGCAAAGAACTCCGCTTCTACATCCCAGGGTGGAGATGCCGCCAAAACGCATGGTGCCTCATGGGTAATCGTCCGGTACCTTCGTACGACTCCGACGGCCTCTAGGGCCTTCTCAGAAAGGTGATGACTTTTTCCATCAGAGCCCCGACTTATGTGGGGGCCCCTTATAAAGTCATTGACCAAACTACCCCGAAGTACTCCGACATAGGATAGCAGCCGCTTTAATGCAGCTGCAGCTCCCATTAGCCGGGGGCCAAGCACCTAAAGTGCTTGCGGAAACTCCAGCGGCTATCCAAGAAATGAGTCCAAAGTACCTCATGTTAAACCCAACCTGAATACGGACATCACTGACAACGATGTGAGATTCCTGTGGCGAGGCTTTTCAAAGCCTGTGAAAACAAATGGCCTTGGACTTACTTAACGCCACTTCCAGTCCCAACATCCTGATTCTGTCAAAATCCTGTACCACAGACACAGTGGCAAGACGATCGGCTGCCTCGTAAGTGTCCCACCGGGCAGTGATCAGAAATTCGTCTGCATAGCAAATTACTCTAGTGTAAAATTATATTTTGTTCAAGCAGCTATGCAGGTAGAGCTATATATCGAGCAGGAGAGAGACCAGTCCAGATCACTGCGACCTAAAAGATATATTGTGCTGCTGGGTGGTGCTATCACGTAACATCCTTTAATCAGATAATTTCATGCAAAATAAAAATGTAAAGTAGTCGCCTCTTTTGTTTGGTACATACCTCCTATCATTGCTGAGAAGATCTTTGCCAAAGAAGGAGTTCGTTGCATACCCTAATGTGCGGACTTTATATATGCTTGAAATTAGACATGCATCGCTACTATGGCTATAGTTCACTGCTAAGCCCTCGATGAATAGAAGGAATTGCTTAGCTGTGAGCAATTTCACTTCTTCTGGACGGAGTACATAGTTTTCCAGATGAGTGTTACGTTTGCGCATTAAGAGTCCGCAATCAGTTAGTCTGGAACAGA